GTAGTGGGTGCCACAAGTGTGGCAAAGAGGGTCACTATGCTAGGGACTGTCGTCATTCCACGCAAATCCGCTTTACTGATTCCGTCTTGAAATCCTACAACATAGAACGTAGTTGTATCCGCCATGTAGCTCCGATCATTTTCTTGTTTGCTCCAATGACATATCTCTATCCATCCGTCTCTCCCTCACATGTTTTAATTGATTGTATAATATTTCATCTTTTTATTGGAGAAATTTGGTGCAAACCCGAGTCTATTCATCTAAAAAATCAATCAAAATTTATTAGGAGATGCTAAAAGTCATCACCGATGAAAGATGAATATAGAAACTCTCTGGTACACAATCGCGATCAATTCCATCTTTTCTTTGAATGTTATTCATGTTGTCAATGTCTTTTGGAAATGTATTGTATCAACTTTCAATACAATATTTCTAAAACATCCCTTGTGACAAAAAAAAAAAAAAAAAAAAAAAAAAAAAAACACCTGTCTAACCCATGCAATGCATGGGATCCTACAATTGTTATGATTAAATTTTGTCACGATTTACCTTTGGAGTTTATTTCAAACGAATGTTCGTTATCAAAAATACAATTTTTTTTTTCCAAAGACAAACTCAACAAAGTGGACTATAACGATAGTTTCTTCTTTCATTTTCTTTGGCTTTGCAAGTTGCAACTAGGGATGAGCATCGGAACCGACCCCGCCGAAACAGGCCCGAACTAGGAATCGAACTTGGTGGAAAATAGGAACCGAACCGGACCGCCGGTTCTACCGGAACCTACTGGTTCTTATCGTGTCTTCAATATTGGAACCGCTCTTCGAGAAACAGCAATATACAGTTCCGGTTTATTCCCGTTCTACTGTTTTTGTTAGTTCTACCGATTCTCGATTCCAAAAAACCACAAGAATATCGGCCCGGTTCCGGCCCGATCGGTTCTATCCGGTGCCGGTTCCGGTTCCGGCCGGTTCACTGATCTAAATCATCATCCCTGGTTGCAACCATTGGATTAAATGTAATTTGACTCAGATTTTCAAAGGCATTAAATGAGCCGAAAACTGTTTCCAGCGATTGGTATTTGACAATTTCCATGTCTACTAATAAAAGAGTAATTATTTGGTCATTTGACATTATATTAGACCTCTTAATTAATATGATACCACCTGGCAATCTATTAGTTCTCCATTTTAAATTTATTATACCTCTTAATTAATATGATGTTATTTGTTAATGTATTTATTCTCCATTTTTAATTCTAAATTTTATATTATTGTTTTCATTAATTCACAAATAAAAAATATCTAATATATATTAAAAATTAATTTTATATATTTATTTGAATCAACGATTATAATTCCACATAACTAATAAAAATATCTTGTAATTAATAATTTATTTAAAATAATTAATTAATAATTTTGAGGATTTACTATAAAAGTTTAATAAATTTTATAACCGTGATTTCCACGGGTTATAAACTAGTGCTTAATAATAAAAGAGAACATTTACAATTTTCTTTTATTCTGCCAATTGATGAAGTTTTTAGATTTATATATTTTTGTAATTAAGCCAAAAAAAAAACAACAATTGTATATAATTATGTCTAAATACTGATAAAGTCTCAAAAAGTGGCAATGATTTACAATTCTGAGTTTTTTTTTATCATGGTAAACCGATATTCTATGGGTTTTTATCCCGGTAATTGGTCACCAACCGAACCGAATACAAACATTTTCTAGACAAATGTAATTAGGGTTGTAAACGAACCAAACGAACACGAACAAGGTCTTGTTCATGTTCGTTCGTTTAAGTTATCCAAACAACAAACGAACACAAACGGATAAACGAACGAGATTTTCTTGTTCATGTTCGTTCGTTTAGCAAATTACTTTGTTCATGTTCGTTCATTTATGTTCGTGAACATGCTAAATGAACATAAACGAACAAACATAATAAAAAAAAAAAAAAAAAAAAAAAAAAAAAAAAAAAAAACAATTGAACATATATAAATATAAGCGAACATATAATATAGCAATATAATAAAAAATAATTGAATATAGATGAATATAAATAAACTTAAACGAACGTAAACAAACATCATAAACGAATGTTCACGAAAATAAATGAACGAACGAGACCATTGTTCATGTTCGTTCATTTAATTAAACGAACGATATTTTTTGTTCATGTTCGTTCATTTATTAAATAAATGAACATAAACGAACTTCCCGTCGAACAGTTCACGAACGGTTCGCCGAACGTTCAGTTCGTTTACAGCCCTAAATGTAATCATTTTTAAGTTGGTCCAATATTCACTTAGTTAGTCTAGTACAAAATATTAAAAAATATTTAATACAATACAAAATATCAGACAATAGTATATATATATATATATAATATATATTATATATATATATATATAATATATATATTATATATATATATATATATATATATATATATATATATATAATATATATACTAAATCAAATATATGAATAAATAATAAAGAAATGATTTTTTTTTTCAAATAATATAAATGTGAAAAAATATAATGGTACAAAAACATGTAACGACACTATATCTCATATGACGATTTTCACTCAATATTTATATTAAAAAATATAGATAGATCAATAATTGAGAGAATATTTATGAAATCAATTAGTTATCTAGGGCAAGTCTCAATGTCTCATCTCCCCACCAACTAAAATGTTCGATTAATGTTTCATATCTATGAGATACAATGAACAGACATATATATATATATATATATATATATATATATATATATATATATATATATATATATATATATAATATAATAATTATATATATATATATATATAGGAGTAGGATCAAATAAGAACACCAAAAAGGTTGAGAACGCGAGAACAAAGTATATTCATTTGTAATTCCATTTATTCATTTGTGGAGAAATGATAAATTTTTACGACTTTAATTTCAATTGAAGAGAAAAAGTATATTCATGTTGATTGTGCGTAAAAAATTATCATTTATCCACAAATGAATACATGAAATCACAACTGAATATACCTGTTCTCGCGTTCTCAACCTTTTAGTTGTTCTCATTTGATCATTTCCATATATATATATATATATATATATATATATATATATATATATATATATATATATATATATATTATATATATATTCATGTTAATTTGATACAATTCTAATTTTGTGAAACCTTGAGATCAAATTTAAAAATAATTTCAAAATGCAAAATAAATGGAAAAATCCAAAAATTCTTTTTTTAAATATTATTTTCGGAACTTGAATTAACTAAAAATAAATATATACAAATCCGGTTTTTTTTTAAAAAATACGTGAAATATTGTAATAGAATATTAGACTGACATATTCTAAAAAATAATTTTAAAATTAAAAATAAATGGAAAATTCTTAGAATTATTTTTTTAAATATTATTTTCGGAACTTGATTTAATTAAAAAAAATTCCGTTTTGTTTGAAAAATACGTGAAATATTCTAATAGAATATTAAACTATACATATTCTAAAAAATAATTTTAAAATGCAAAATAAATGGAAAAATCCAAAAATTCTTTTTTTAAGTATTATTTTCGGAACTTGAATTAACTTAAAAAAATAAAAATAATAAAAAAATGCGTCTCACGGTCTCACAAAATTAGGCCGTCTCACATGAACCCAACAATATATATATATATATATATATATATATATATATATATATATATATATATATATATATATATATATATATATATATTATATATATATATATATAGGGGAAGGCTAATGCAAAAATGCAAACTATATGTGAAAATGAAGGAACCAATCACATATTGCCACATCATTATTCATGTTTTCTTCAATTTATTACTTAAATTTATTAATAAAGGGTAAGATAGTAATTAACATAAAATAGTGATTGAATTCGTTCTTCATATAAATAACCGCAAACAAAAACTGACATATTAATATGAAAATAACTTCTTCCGTATGTTTATGATCGACAAAATCATCTCCATTAGAAGCATTGATTGATTTAGTTAGAATATCAAATTGAAGAGATGTCTAGTAAAGAATATGAAGATATTTGTTCTACTTATTTAGTTGATAAAGCAAAGGAATCTTCCCAAAATTTAACTATCGAAAATTCAATATCAACGTTAGATGATGTTCATAAAGGCACGTTTTCATTCTGTATAATTACTATATTTTTTATTCTAATATTAAAAAATTATAAATACCTAACATTACAATACTATGATACACACTCATTACATATATTTTTACGATTATACTGAAAATTAATTTCAACCTTCAAACTGATGTTCATGATCCGAAGAAAAAAACAAGTTAATCGTATGATTAATTAGATTTCATTTACTAAATATTTACATATAAATACTTATTTCAATAATCTTTCTGAATATTGGACAGGAAGTAATGAATCAGAACACTCATTCAATGTTTTAACTATTGAACCTTCAAAATCAACATTCAACAATGGTGATAAAGGCAAGTTTAATAAATAATAAGATGAATATTTCTGATGTTATTATTCAATAATTAAATTTAAATAGATTACTAAATTCTATAGAACAATTACTAACAATTTTAAAATAAACAAACTGACTCTGAAGTTCAACTTTCAAAAGAAACTACAAGTGCAGCAGCAACAAAAAAGGATAAAGGCATGTTTACCTAATTCATATTAAATACATAATTATGAACATATTTAATATATTTCAATATTGAGCTTTTTGAATATTTGATAGGAACATCTTATATAAATCAAGATGATTTGTACATTCCACATGTTGCTGCAGATATCATTACTAAAAAAGGACAAATTGTGTCAAGTTTAAATGAAGGAATTGAAATGTACAGAAATTATGCAAAAGCAGCTGGTTTTGGAATTAGATTAGGAACAACAACCAAATACGGGGATCTAAGTCTAAGGAAAAAACAAGTAAGATGCAACAGATATGGAAATCCAAAAAAAAACCATCGATACTCTTACATCCAAACGACTGAAAAAACAGGAAAGAAAATCATATTCTAAGGTCACAGGATGTATGGCAATGATTGGTTTTGACAGAAATGCTGCAACAAATATAATCACTGTATATGCATTTGAAGACACACATAACCATCCACTTACTGAATTTAATGAAGAAAACATCTGCTCTCCAAATCATCATCTTAGTATTTTTGATCAAGAACTAATTGTTAAAGCTTCAACTATCAACATTGGTGCCACAAAAGCACACAAGTTAAGAGCATCATTAAAGGGAGGATATGATAATTTGCCAGCAACAAAGAATGATTTCAAAAACTTTTGGAGAGATTATACAAATATTGTTGGACCAAATGATGCTCAATGTGTTGTAGACCAGTTGATAATTCGCAGAGATAATTATCAAAATTTCAATTTTCAATATAAGTTGGATGATGATGTGCTAAATGCTATGTTTTGGGTTGATGAAACAGGAAGAGAAAACTACAATAAGTTTTCTGATGTTATATCAATGGATGCTACTTATAGAACAAACAGGTAAAATTTATATTTATTAAATAATATTACATAATAAGGGATACATTTTACAAATATTTTCAGGTACAATATGATATTTGTTTCTTTCACTGCAATAAACAATCATGACAAGACAATCAACGTTGGAGCAGGACTAATATCAGATGAAACAATTGAATCATACTCTTGGTTATTAGAAGCTTTTTTGTCATCACATAAGAAGAAACCAACAATGATTCTATTAGACATGGATGCAGCATTATCTTGTTCAATAGCAAAGGTGTTTGAAAGATGTACTCACAGATTATGTATGTGGCACATAATGTCAAAAATGCCATCAAAGGTAATAAAAAATTTAATTTAGTGAATTACATATAGCTTATGAAAATATACTAATAAAATTTAACATGACAGATTGAAGCTGACTTAGTTTCAAATACAGATTTCAAGAAACGCATAAATCAACTAGTTTGGAATATGAATATTAAACCATCAGAATTTGAGAACAAATGGGATTTGATGTTGAATGAGTTTCATTTGAAGGAAAATAAATGGTTGGCTGATATGTTCAACAAGAGAGATAAATGGATTCCATCATATTTCAGAGATATACCAACGTGTGGACTTATGAAGACTACATCTTGATCTGAAAGTTCTAATTCATTTTTCAATGTTTTCTCAAGTCCAACCAACTTACTTGTTAATTTTATGTTCAACTTTGACACTGCACTTTCAAAGCAGTGTCATGAACAAAAAAGATTAGACATTGCATCAAGAGATACTTCTCCACAACTGCTATTTCCAAATGAAAATTTGAAAATAGAAAAGCATGCATCATTGGTATACACTCGAGAAGCATTCATAAAAGTGCAAAAACAAATAAAAAAGGCATTCTATCAGTGTTTTCAATAAAAATTCGGTTTTGATTGATGGTCGTCAACAATGCACAATTGTATACAAAGAACTAAAATCAGGCAAGCGACCAGAATTTAAGGTATTCAATTATGCTACTTCATTATTATTTTAATTTAACATTATTTAGAATTTATAAATATATTTTTGAAATAAAATTTTATTATTACTTCTCAGGTTTCTTTTGATGCAAAAGATGAAACAATTGAATGTGAATGTTTGCATTTCACATTTTTTGGAATCCTTTGTAGTCATGCTTTCAGAATTCGTATAGATTATGACATTACCATGATACCTGAAAAATACATTCTGGAAAGATAGAGAAAGAACATAGTGGATATTGGTTTTCAAAAGATAAACAAAAAATGGAGACTGTGCAGTACAGAAATTTCAAATCTCTTGCAGGATGCAACTTCTTTTTTTGAGAAATGCGTTGAATCGGTTATTCATGACAAAGAAAAACTACAAGAATTGGTGAACTCTCTTCAACAATTAAGTGAAACATGTGGAAAGGGTGTTTCTACAAGATCAAGTTCAATTCCAATAAAAGATGTGATTGAAAATATCATCGGAGTTCCAATTTCAAGTGATGTGAAAATCAAAGTACCAAGTGAGATAAAAACAAAAGGAAGTGGAAAGAGGAGTCGAATCAAAAGTGTTGCAGAAAAAGCAATAGCAAAAGCACTTAAACCAAAACGCAAATGCAAAGGATGCAACCAATTCGTCAACCATGATATAAGAAATTGCCCAATAAATCCTTCAAATGTGCTTAGGCCTTTCAAAAAACATCAGTAACTTATATATGAATTTTAGATTTGTTTGTTGTTAAGCTTCTCTGTATTAAAACTATTACTATTAGTCGCATTAAACAATTTGAATTTTTAATTACGTACCTATTCTTTTTCCTTCAACATCTTCTTTGCAACTCTTTTGACCATGTCTTTTGACAAATGTACAATTCCTAAAATCATGTTGAACCAACGTATTTTAAAAATTACACAATCTCATTTGTTTTTTATACATCTTATGTTGATGAAAAATATACATTATATTGCAATATATATTTTTATTTATAACTTACACACACACACACACACACACATATATATATATATATATATATATATATATATATATATATATATATATATATATGCCACTAATCTTCCGAAATATATGTTAAAACTATTTCAAATCATCAACTAAAAATTCAGAAACATATTAATTAAAAATATTAACTCTAATGAGATTGAAAAATATAATATTAGATATTACACATGTATATATACACAACTAATCTTTAAAAAATATATATATACTATATTACCTAATAAAATGTTTCATTTATTGCTTAAATCTCTTCAAAATTAACAATTACAAAAAATATTAAAAATAATAAATAGAGAAGTCAAATTAACTTAAATACAATAAATACATACAACCCTTTCACATACAAACCTTTTCATCTAATAGTGATTTTATATTATACATATGTACATACACGCAACAAATCTTCAGAATATATAATACTATATAACCTAATAAAATCTTTCATTTATTACTTAAATCTATTCATAAATGGAGAAGTCAAAACAACTTATTTACAATAAATACAAACCATTCTTTCACATAAAAACCTTTTCATCTAATACTAACTTCATAATTTATATTTAAAAAAAATTTAAAGAAAAAAATAATAATATAAAAAACAAACGATTACGTGTGAAATAAAAACAACTACTCTAATACACATGGTTCTTTCCTATTGGTTCTTACCATTTTCACATCTTACTCTCATTTGTACACGAACCCACTTCTATATATATATATATATATATATATATATATATATATATATATATATATATATATATATATATATATATATATATATATATATATATATATATATATATATAGGTTTAGCTTCATTTGAGACCATTCTAATTTTTTGAGACTGTAAGACAAAATCTAAAAATAATTTTAAAATGCAAAATAAATGGAAAATTCAAAAAATTATTTTTTTAAATATTATTTTCGGAACTTAAATTAACTAAAAATTTTTTTAAAAAATCCCGTTTTTTTAAAAAATACGTGAAATATTCTAAATAAAATATTACATTGATATATTCTAAAAAAATAATTTTAAAATGCAAAATAAATGAAAAAATCTAAAAATTCTTTTTTTTTAAATATTATTTTCGAAACTTGAATTAACTAAAAAAAATAAAAATAATAAAAAAAAATTCTATTTTTTTTTTAAAATACGTGAAATATTCTAAATAGAATATTACACTGTACATATTCTAAAAATAATTTTAAAATGCAAAATAAAAGGAAAAATCAAAAAAAAAATTAAATATTATTTTCGGAACTTGAGTTAACTAAAAAAATTAAAAATAAAAAATAAATAAATAAAAAAATAAAAAAATGCGTCTCACGGTCTCACAAAATTAGACCGTCTCACATGAACCTAACCTTATATATATATATATATATATATATATATATATATATATATATATATATATATATATATATATATATATATATATATATATATTAATCAAGCATTGCAAAATAACAAACACTTTTTAAACTTCATTTTTCTATTTCTATTACTTATGTGATTTTCATATGCCTATCAATATCATGATTGCACATAATAACATTTTCAGTTATATGATACTATAACTTTGATATTGATCCATGATATTTGTGTTTACAATTCATATTTAATGCTCACAACCTTTTTCAATATATTATTTGTACGTATATTTGTGTTTAGAAGAAGTATAGTTCATGGCTATGACAATTCATATTTAATGCTCACAACCTTTTTCAATATATTATTTGTACGTATAATTTTTTAATCATACTGAACACGTATAATTTTTTAATCATATTGAACACAACCAAGGCTATAACTAGGTTTATTTTGGTAATAACTAGTTTTATAAAATCACTACGTTATAACCTGTGGAAACCACGGTAAGTCTATTTAAAATTTTTATATAGATAAAAAATAATAAATATAAAAAAGCCTAAAATATTATTGATTGTAAGTAATTATGAATTAATTTGTTAAGAAAAATAAAGATAATAATGTTATTAGGATATGATTATGTATTTTTAAATTTTAAATTGAATTTAATTTGTTACTAAAAAAATGAAATAATAAAAATCATAAAAAAATATCATATGTCAAAAAGATATTTTAACAAACTAACACGTGTCACTTTAGGATTTATTAGTTATTAGAAGAGGTAGATTATTTTGATAATAGCCTCAACATTCCATTTATTCACAAAATTATAACATGGATAAAAATTCCAACAGACCAATTTCAACCCGATATAATAAATTCAGCTTAACCCAAACTTCTATGAACATTTATCCAATAAATCCGACCACATAATTTTTAAGATTAACAAGTTAGAGTTATATAAACCCATTACATGTCAAACCCCATATTATGACAAGTCTTTTTCCAACATATTCTTTATGGTTTTTTCCATGAAACTACTTGTTTATTCACTTAAAGAACCACGGTAAGTATAATTAAAATTTTTGTATAGATAAAAAATAATAATTATAAAAAATTCTAAAATATTATCGATTGTAAGTAATTATGAATTAATTTGTTAAGAAAAATAAACATAATAATATTATTGGGATATGATTGTGTATTTTCAAATTTTGAATTGAATTTAATTTGTTACAAAAAAAATAAAATAATAAAAATCATTGAAAAATATAATGTGTTAAAAAGATATTTTAAAAAAACTGATACGTATCATTTTAGGATTTATTAGTTATTAGAAGACATAGATTATTTTGATAATTCTATTTATTCACAAAATTATAACATGGATAAAAATGTAAAAGACCAATCTCAACTCATCATAGTAAATTCAGCTAAACCCAAACCCGTTTGAACGTTTATCCAATAAGTCCGACCATATAGTTTTTAAGATTAACAAGTTGGAGTTAAATAAACCCACTACATGTCAAACCCCATATTATGACAAGTCTTTTTCCAACATATTCTTTTATGGTTTTTCCGATGAAACTACTTGTTTATTCAATTAAAGAACACACGAACTTATTTATCCAGGGTTCGCTTTCATGCCTGTCCACTTCCTGTTCAATATTGTTTACTTCAGTTTTATATACAATAACTCATACATCACATCACATCAGTCAAAACGTACAATAAATCAAAAATCAACCGGTTTTCTCCACTTAAAAACCATTTTTCGGCTCCAAATCACGACATATTTGACTCAAAAACGTCTAAATAGTTCATTCGTGTGCAAGTTCTATCAAGAAGGCCGAAAGAAACAACATGATAATCGACACAAAAGCCTAACAATTAATTAAAACACAAATATAGTAGTGGCAAAATGGCATCTTTAACTGTATGAAGAGTTCCTCTACGAAGACAAAACTGGCCAGCTCTTAAGGGGCCAAGAGAATCCCCATCAACCCTAATCTTTTTATTAAATTAAATCTCCATGATTTCCAATCGAAAAATGAAGATTATTTAAAGGGAGACTTTATATTTTGGATGTAAAATGGGTGTTTTGATTTGTCAACACAAAGAACCCACGTCTACAATGATTAAACAAGTAAAGAGTGGGTGACCATTTATTTGTAGGGTTTTCGTTAAGGTATCGTACACATATTCATCATCGTCAACTCGTTTTCAAATAGGTTTTTAATATTCGAAAATTATCTGTCGTAGGAATCTTTGCTTGGTTTTTAAGAGGGTTTGCTCGGTTTTTGTGGGTTCGGGAAGAACAGGAGAAAGAACAGAAACAAGACTAAGAAGGTTTCTGGGAATTTGATTTACGGGAACATATGGGGAGACAGCCTTGTTGTGATCGAGCGGGGTTGAAGAGAGGTCCATGGACTATGGAAGAAGATCGAAGACTTATGAATTTTATCATCAACAATGGCATCCAATGTTGGCGAATGGTTCCTAAGCTTTCAGGTTTTTTCTCGGTTTCCTTGTTAATTAATATACTTTGTTCTTCGTTGCAAAAAGACCACTGATTTTGTAGAAAAGTCTAAGGATAAACATTGTCTTTTACAAGAATGATGCCATTTGTTGTATGGAAATTGGATTCTAAATAATATTTCGAATTTTCCCTTTCCGTGAAGGTTTGCTAAGATGTGGGAAGAGTTGTAGGTTGAGATGGATTAATTATCTAAGGCCTGATCTCAAAAGAGGGACACTATCAGAAGCGGAAGAGGATCAGATTATTGAACTTCATGCTCGTCTTGGAAATAGGTATTTACATTTTTATTTTTGTTTCTATAATATAATCAAGTTATGTGTATACATATGTATGTATTGATGCATCGTATATGTGTATATATGCCTGCATGTTTTACATATTATAATCAAATATCGATCAATTAATGAATATACATGGCCATATTTTAGGTGGTCAAAGATTGCCTCGCATTTTCCAGGGCGTACGGATAATGAAATCAAGAATCACTGGAATACTCGAATCAAGAAAAAGTTAAAGCTTCTTGGAGTAGACCCGAACACCCACAAACAAATTGATGAGGAGAAAAAACAAGATATGGGACCCAAGAATGAGCAATGTAACACTATCTATGATGTCACATCGAATAATGGAAATACACAAGTGGGTCATAAGAAGATAGATGAACATAGACTCCACAATGACATAAACTCCCAGAATCATCATGACATGGTTTTCAAGAACTTTGATATGGATTTAAGTAAAACTATGAATCAGGAAGAATCAACGTCAAAATCATTTAGCTATTCTCATTCGTATTCTTATGAGGATTCAGTGAACCCTAATCTTTATATTGGAGAATCCCCTTTCGTAGAAGGAGATTATTCTTTACAACAATGGGCTGATGGCGTAGATCCATCGTTGTTATGGGATTACTTCAGTCAACAAGAAGATACATTTTTCCTTTTAGGAAACACTTAGTGGTAAATGGTATATCTATTTGTTCATTATATTAATGTTGTTAGTAGCTAGGTCATTAATTAAGAAAAAAAATGAAAAAGAAAGAAGACCGAGCTTAATTATGTTATCAACTCTTGATATTCGAATTTTGTATTACAAAAAAGAATGTATTTCTCTTATGTTTTTTGTTTCTCTCCCTTGCAATCCACCTACTAACCGATAAAGAATGTAATTCTCTAATATTGATTCTCTTATGTTTTTGGTTTCTTTCCCTAACAATCAACCGTCTAACGATTATGCATAACATGGGCAGCAATTTAAGTGGAGATGCATGTATATGCCATATACATACATTCTTGTTAGATGGTTGAGCTATCATCTAAGTACAATCATATAAAATGGTTGTTTGAACGAAACCAACGACATAAGTGTTGAGTTGTAGAGTTGGATATATTATTTGCTCATAGAATGGAACGGCTTAGCAAATGTATACTAAACTAGTTTATAACTTGTGAGAACTATATTTATAAAATTTATTAAATTTTATATTAAAAAATTAAAAATATTAATCAATTATTTTAAATAAATTATTACTTAAGAGATATTTTTTAGTTATATAAAATTATAATTGTTGATTTAAATAAATACATGAAGTTATATCATCTTATAATCTATATTAATTTTACTTTATTTTTTAATCTAATGTTATTAATTTAATATAATTAGAATGTGAAAATTTAAAATTTGAAATTCAAAATGGAGGATCAATTATTAATTGAATATAATTGGAGTGGAAAATTTTAAAATTTAAAATGGATAACTAATAGGTTGATAAGTGGCAAGTGGTTGTTATGCTACTTAAAGTTGGAGGGAGTCGCACTCCCCCATGCAGTGATATGTAGGTGTCACCTCATCCATTACCATAAAAGTGTGGTTTCATATATACCACATCCAAAGAGTGGTGTCACACTTGGGTATTTTTTTTAATAAATAAAAGGGACAAATCAGAGGAAGAGAAGAAAATGAACCAATCACATTGCTAGAAGATTGTTTGAAAGAATGTTCCATTGGAAGGATGCAGGACACTCTCTATCGCACCCAGGGGATGGTCTTTATGCTTATGTAGCAAAGAGAGTGCGGTCCAGACCACACCCACTCCGTCTCCCTATGGTCTAAAAAACATTTAATGTACGGTTTTTAGTTAGAATCCAAACTTAAAGACCCGTGGTGCCAGTTGAGGTCCGGAGTTTTTAACAAAAATAAAAGCCTTTTCGATTCCCTCTTATAAAAATATGGCCATTTTGTATCCTTTTATAAAAATAGGGTGAAAGTAATGGTCCCCACCAAAAAACAAACATATCTTATTATTGTAAGTTTTCATTTTAAACTTACACTTTCAGTCCCTCAAAATATATGTTATTTTTTATTTATAACTTGAGTAAATTACACAAATGGTCCCTATGATTTGTGGTAATTTGCATTTTTGGTCCTTCATTTTTTTTTTTAATTCGGAAGGTCCTTACTATTTCTTTTTGTTATGCGTTTGGTCCCAACTATATGTTTTTGTTACGCGTTTGGTCCCTATCTTACTTAAAAAAAACTATTATTTAAATAGGAAAAAATTGTAGGGTATGTAAGATAAGGTGAGAGGATAGGTTTGGTGGTGTGTTTATTTAAATAAATTAAAATTATCGAGGACAAAATAGTCTTTTTAGGTAAGATATGGACCAAACGCGTAACAAAAACAAACAATAAGAACCTTTCGAGTTAAAAAGATAAGTTAGGGACAAAATATGCAAATTGCCATAAACCACAGGGACCATTCATGTAATTTACTCTTATAACTTTAATATATCAATATTTTTACACCTATTTAAATTCTACTTAAAAATTTATTATATATATATATATATATATATATATATATATATATATATTAACTCTAACAAATTATATATTTATAAAAGGATCTTGAATACGTTTTAATTAATACAAATAATATTAAATATATTATAATGTTACAAACTAACACGAACATAAAACACAAATTAAACATGAAATTACATGAAAATCCAAATAGAAAATTACAAGATCGATAAAATATTACATAGTTCACATACAAGATCAATAAAATATTACATAGTTCACATTGCATTAAATTTTGGTTGAGAATTTGAAATTTTTCATATGTTATGACCAGGTTGATGACATAGACCACATCGACGAGGTTCATCAGGATGACGAACGTCCATCTCGTTGCGAAATCGATTTTCATGTCTTCAACCTTGGCCACTAGAATTTTTTGAGTGATATGCTTCAATAGCTCAATCCGACTCCAACTAATAATCAACATGAGGAAGTGGTGTAAAAGCATTATCATATTTTTTTATACATCTTCGTATAGTAAACAAGATTCACAATGGAAAGAAGGTTATTTCCTCTGTGGCAGCAAACTACCAGAGCATTAGAACATGGAAATCTTTTCATCTGCAACTTACCACATATGAACGTACCTTTCCAGTCCTCTATATTTCTCATTGCACGAATTATTTCTTGATGTCTATCTAAAATAACATACAATTGTCTATCTTGAGCAACAAAATGTCTAAACCGATAAGAAAAACCAAGACCAACCATGTGAAGTCTCCTCGTCAACAATGGCATAATCAACTGGTAGTATATTATTGTTGGCGTCCTGTGTAACAACAATGAGCATTTTTCTTTGGTATAAACCCCTCAAACAACAAACATCGACATAAATAACATGTCGACATAGACGAAATGCATTAATAGCATGTCCAAAAGCCCAAAAAATATACTTCAATGTTGCCACACTTGATGAGCTATTTTGATTTCAACCCAAATTTGACCATAATAATTTTCATCATTTTTGGCCAAATAGTACATTACTTCTAAACCTGAATCACTAATGATCGGTCAAATATTACATCTACCACCAAATTGGTAACATAGTGAGATATCAACTTATAGGCTGTTCTCTCAACTCTAATATGTGCATAAATCAAATCTTTAAGGCATAGCTCATTTTTTATCTAAGAATATTTGAAGTAGTCATGGTTGATTCAGCACCATTTATGTGTAAGATCTTAATCCTTGGAGGTATCTAAATTTAGTATATTTTGGATTTTAGGTGGTGTCACGTCATGGTGGAGGCACCCCATGACGTGGTAATGGTCGATGTACCGCGGGTTTTAAATGACCGCCACGACGTGGTCATTGTTTTAATGAGAAACCCTATTTTTCTGGGTTTGCGTCCTATTTAAATTAATGATGAGGCTAGGGTTTGCTCATCCTCAACCTCGATCACCCCCCCCCCCCCAAACCCTAAAGAAAAACCATATCATTTTTCCTCCATTATTGAGCAAGTTTGGTGTTCTTGAAGATAAAGAAGGAAGAAGGCGGGCATAGGAAGCATAGATAAAGCAAGCAAGTCCCCATTTCTCACCTTAGCATTCTTCTGTACCTTTGTAAGTGTCTAAGACTCAATTTTTAGCAAGCTGGGTTGTTAGACCTTAAGGTTTGCCCCATAAACTTCTTGTTCTTGCTTGTTGGGATGATGAGATCTCATAAAGTTTGCAACTTTATGAATCTTTTGGTCATTATTTGTGCCTTGGGTCTAGATTTTGGTTGGTTTTTCAAGTCATGTATGAGATTTAGGTCATATACTCTCATTTTGACATAATATGGGTTCAATACATGCATTAGACATGTATGTTTACAAAACACCAATTTTTAGGGTAGTTTGAGCACTAGAATCACTTCTAGAAAGGATGGACTTCGGACTTTATGGAATAAGTGCTTATTGGATAAGTCTTCGCATCATTAAGCCATTTGGGACTTAGAGAATCGGAGTTTTGGACCTTTTGAGTGGTCCTAATGGATAAAGTCGGAACTTTATCCTTTTCGACCATATTCTGGACGAGATCTGATCTTTGGAGCTCTTTGAATCGAAGAAAACAACTTAATGCATTAAGTTGTTTGGAATCGCAGCTACCACGGCATGGGCATAGGTCACCACGGCACGACGATTGGGAATTTCCCCAAATGGTTGGTTGAACGTGGGCCACGACGTTAAGGATGAGCATTTGGACCTGTGGACCAGACCAAATGGTTTTTTTGGACCCCCAGGCTGATTCTTGGTTTTAGGATTTGACAAAAACCGGTCCGGCCAGTTCCGGGTAAAAACCGGTTTTGGACCGGCTTATTTTTTTTTTAAAAAAAAATGTATTTTTTGAAATTCTTTAAACAATCATATCTCATTCGTTTTAAGTCAGATTGATATGCGGATTTTTCCAACGTGTAATTTAGAGTTTGTAGATGATTTTAGACTATAATTTTGCTGTTTTTGGTGTTATATTCGACGAGTCACAATCCTTCAAAGATGGGATATCAAAGCTGAAAGATTTCAGTTTTTCAGTAAAAATTTAAACTTTTGTATTTGGTTAAATTCTTTAAACAAACATATCTCATTCATTTTAATTCGGATTGACATATGGTTTTTTTCAACGTGTAATTTATACTTTATAGATAATTTTATACTATAATTTTGTCTTTTTGATGTTATATCCGATGAGTTACAATCCTTCAAAGATAAGATATTAAAGTTGAAATATTTTATTTTTTCAGCAAAAAAAATTAAACTTTTGTACTCTATAAAACTCTTTAAACAAGAATATCACATTCGGTTTAAGTCGGATTGGCATGCGATCTTTTCCGACATGTAATTTATAATTTGTAGATGATTTTTGCTTCTAATTGAGCCTTTAGGGGTTTCTGTCCTTTCATGAGTTGATAACCTTTGTATTTTAGGTCCTCGACTTCCCTACATAATGATACTATTTCCTCACGAAGAATTTTAACATAATCAATGCATGCTTGAGAACAAGAAGATAAACTTACCTCATTTTTCTTGGATTCTGAGGTAGAAGATACCATTAGTGCAAACTAAAATTCCAACATCTTTTCTTCTGGATCAACCTCAACATTCTTCACAGGAACATCATCATTGATTTGGGCTAAGTGAGCATTTTCAGGTCCTGAAATATTCAGGGCCTGAATCTGGTCCTCCTAGTCAAAAGACTGAGCAACCATTGCAGTCTCACTGTTGAC